AGGCATATTGCCAAAAGAACGAAATGCAGTTCGGAGGATGGAACGACAAGCAACTCGCTATGTGATAGTAGGCGAGAAACTCTATAAAAGATCCTTCACTCTACCATAGCTACTAAGCTTGCACCAAACAAAGGCAGATCGGGTGTTACACGAGATCCACGAAGGGATTTGTCGAAAACACTTAGGAGGCCAAGCCCTAGCTCAGAAAACCTTATGACAAATGTACTACTGGCCCACCGTGAAAACAAATGTGGACGAGCTGGTCTTGAGATGTGATAAATGCCAACAACAAGCAAACATCCTACACCAGCTAGCACGCACTCCCTTCTTTCCCCAAATTTGATGTTTGAAGAAGAAACCACGGCCCGTCCAACCTCAGTCCGAGCTAATAAAGCTAGCGACCTATGAACCAACCGGACCAATTACCCTTTCTGAGAGTTACTCTCTTCGCCGAGCTAACACTAGCTCAAGAGTGGGGGCAATTGATGAGGGGTAATTTGGTTCTCTCAATCGTACAATGACACGTAGCTTTCGGATGACACCTTAGTGCCGAGTCAGCAAACTAGCTCAGTAAAATTAGCTCGGAGCATCTCACCCAGGCCGACCTCTACCTCGACGAGACCGAACTAGCTGACCCTGTAGGATTACGACAAGCTGTCCTAGTTGTCGGTCGAGTTGTAGAGACTTAAGGTGACCTACTAAGGAGAGCTCGCTAACCACTCCTTGTAGTTCCCAATATAGCTTGACAAGGCCGAGCTGGTAGACCCGTAAGAATAAGGCGAGCTGTCCTAGGAGCCGGCTAAGCTGAGAGGACCTAAGGCGACCTGTGAGGAAGAGCTCACTAACCGTCCCCAGCAGCTCGCTACCAAAGGTGCCGATAGCGCGACCGTTAGAATGGCTCATCGTGTCGCGCGCTAGATTCTATGCGAACAAATCATAACTCCCGCGAAGATCTCTCAATTGACACCTTAATGCGCCTAAAAATAGGGAAACAACTCCACAAAGAGCTCAAGACAGTTACCCTAAGCCCCCTGAGTCCAGGAGCCTATATAAGACGTCCAGATCCACCCAGAAAGGTATGCACACTAATATACTCTAGCTCTCTCACACTCAAAAGATTTCGATACCACCTTTCTAACTTAAGCATCGGAGTGTTCTCCCCGGGTAAAACCTACCTGGGCACTCTCATCCTTCTCTCATTGCAGCTTGCTTTCATCTCGGACATACAAGCATCGACTCGTCTACACAGCTTAACCCTGCCAGATCAGAACCCCGTTCAAGCCAAGTTGTCAAACACGAGGGAGCAACCAAATCGCGCATCATCAATTATAAATACACACACACACACACACACATATATATATATAATGCATATTTATTAATTTATAATATATATATAAAACATATATAATACACATAAATATATAGAAATATATGCATACCGGTCGACTCAGTTAAACACCGGTTTTCTATATTGGTTAACCGAAACCAAACCGATACCATCGGTTTTTTAAAACAATGAACCAACCAGTTCAATTAAGCAATTTTTCAGTTCAATTTCGGTCGATTTTTTTGGTTGGTTTGGTTTTTCGATTTCTTCTCACCCCTTAATAAAATTCAAAGTAGCAAAAATGTATAGAGAGTCTCATCTTGGATGGCATGCTTACGCAAGTCATTGTGCTCCTTGTTTGTCAGACATGTGTTAGATTCCATGGCAATCAAAGATCAAGCCATTACAAAACGTGGATGCATGATACAAACCACCAAAGGTAGGAAGAGGAGTAGGGGTGTAAACGGATCGAATTTGAATCAGTCGAGCAATATCCGAATTCGAAACCGATTAAAAAATCTGATATTCGAATTCGATTCGATATTTGACGGATATTGAAAATTAATATCCGAATTGGAATCCGATTAAATATTCAAATATTCTATTCGATTCAAATTTGATTAATTAATTATTTTAGATAATTAATAAATATATAAAATAAATATTTTATTGATATAAAGTATATAAATATATAAATTTTTTATATAACTTAATTATTATATATATTATATAAAATAATTTATATATTATATATGAGAATTAAATAATCGATCGGATTCGGATATTTATCAAATTGAATGAAGTCATATCCGAATTCAAATCTGACTAACTATTCGATAAGAATAAAATATCCGAATTCGACCCATTAGATATTTGAATTATCTGAATTCAATTCGATTATATCGAATATCGAATTCGAAATCGAATTTTCGAATACTGTTGACACCCTAACGACGAGGTTTAGAGCCGTTGCACCTTCACCACATGTCCTGTTCCATCTAGGCATTTCCTAGCACTAACTTGCTGGTTACGTCATCAACCGGTGGTTTCACAAGGCACCATGTCATCACTCCTCAGCTTGGACGAGCTTCTAACCACGTGCCAATCCTTGATTCAACCACTAGTTGGCTTTCAATTCATTTACTGTCTAATTAATAGGACCTACCGAATCCCGAATGCTTCAGTGAGTACCTTATATTTTGAAAATTATTAAAAGTTGGTTTTAATCTTTTTCAAGATAGGTTGGGAATATTTAAAAGAATAGGTGTCAAAAAAAATTTTAAAATTTCTCATTTACGTATTTACAATGACGTGACTATCTAATCCGGACTCCTAACAGAACCAGATTTATGACATCATCAATGTCATATTGATATTTGAAGACAACACGTACGAGACATAGCGAATGATCCTTGTGTCATTGAGGACCTATCACTACACTACTTGTCTTGCCTACCACTAAAAGTTAAAAGTTATGGTGCATTCACTGTTAACATTCTTTACCACCACCATAGGTCAATAAATTGCTATTCAATATTCTTCGGAATCTTTTAATAGTTTTTTCTCTCTTGAAAATTTTCAAAAAATTGTGAATAAATATTTTTTATGTTTTAAATAATTTTCATTGCAAACAAATAACTCTAATATGGATCTATTAAACTCATTGATCTAAGAATAATATATGTTAATAATGATTTTTTTTTTTGAAAAAATAATTTATTTGATACAATGTTCTAAATATCAATCCAGGCTGATATGTTGGATGGGGCATTCAGTCTCTATCATTGGATGCCTTTTTTTTAGGTTTTTTTTTCAAACCTGTTAAGGGGATACCCCCTGAAACCAAGCTTAAAGTGGCATATTGGTGGGTCACCAATACAATACATATCGATCAATACATTGCAAAATTTCGATCCTTGATTTTATATATTTTAAATGACTTTCATGTTAAGGAAGAACTATAATATGGATCTCTTGATGATCTATAAAACTTATTCATCTTACAACAATTTAATGTTCTTGTAATATTGGCAATTCAAACGTTGTTTGATGTATTATTAGTAAAATTATTGTATATAATATCTACATGTTCTAGAGTAGAATAATTGTATTGTTGGTTGTAATGTATCTTTTCATATAAACTATTACAGTGTACATTTCTTACATGTTTATACCTTATTCAGAATTGCCTCGACCTTAGATTTTAGTATTAACAACGCATTTGTGGGTTTTGTAAGAATTTATCCAATGTATCCAAACCAAGCTAGTACTTATATCCAATGAGGCAATTGAATCGTGACCTAGACCCTTGGCCAGTTTGGTCATACTCTAAAAACCACAACTTGTGAAAAACTTGCCAGTTTAACTAGAGAACCGGTGAACCAATCCCAATTTTATAAAACTACTCCCTTTTATGTACTACTTTAATACTCATGTGAAACTTGAACCCTAGGCATATGTTTTATAAAGTAAGGACCCCATCATCTGTCCATCACATTCAAGTATAATGATGACAATTATAGAATATATTATAGGATAAATTTTTGAAACCTCCCCTAAAGCTTTGGACCATTGCTAAAACCTCTCCTAAGGTTTGGTAATTGCAATCATCTCTCTTGAACTTTGTGACACATTTGCAAGTAGACCCCTTCTATTAGAAACATGAAAATGTCCAAAATACTCATAAAATTACTATTGAGGCTGATTTCTATAGAAAAAGCAAAACAAATTTAAAGTTGCAGATTTACCTTTGAATGATTAATATAAAAGACAAATTTAAAAAATAAATCAATTTCAAAAAAAGAGATTAGAAAGATCTAAGCAACAATTCATATGTAGAGAAAATAAATCAAAGTAATTGTATAGATATTGTTTAAAGGATTCTATCAAAAGGAGTCTACTTATAACTATGTCTTGAAAATCATGAAAATTGATTGAAATTACCAAATTTCAAAAATTTATCCATTTTATATATTATTTATTGACCTATAATGTGTATATATATATATATATATACCTCTCCCTTTAAAAAGTTGTAAAGAAGGAAAAAAAAAAAAAAAGTTGTAGAAGGAGAAATAATGGACGTAAGACAAATTCATGCAGCCAGCAAGATAGTGGAATCTGCTGACATGCGCACGTGGGCTCCCGTTGATCATGACATGGTTGACAATTTTTATATACTGCTTCTAATCTATTGGGCTATTGTGCGCCACTACCCCCCCCCCCAATTCCGTGTGGCCCTTTCTCTTACACAATGGCTTCTTTCTTAATTTATTAAAAATTTTAATTTTTGAAATTTCTGTTAAAATACAAAATTATTTTTTAACCAAATTAACACTATTATCCATTCATTTCCGCACGCCGCTACTACGAAGTTATCCTGGACTCATCTCCACCCTCCATGTGGCATACTGCCATTCATATTCATGGCCATTAACCGTCTGATCACTTTGAATATGGAAGATATCAAATGCGAGGCCCTTTAAACGGACGACCCACATTTGAGCTTTTGGTTGACGCCGAAACAGTTAGAAAACCGAAATACCGGTTATAACTGCCGTTATTTTCCCACTTTTATTGTTAATTTTGTGCAATAAAAACCCAAAATTTTCATAAACACGGTTTGTACTGTTTATGAGTTTAACCAAAAGAGTTGCTTTCATAGTCCTCTGAGTGAAGACAATACTCCTCTTCGCACGGGGCAGAGAAGGAGATATACAAAGCCAGAGAGAAGGCCCAAGGGAAACCCTAGCCCTTACTGGGACCTCGAATTTCTGCTGTAATGGACTCAAAACTGCTTCGGTTGATTTCTCATCAGTCCTTCTTCTCCACCGTGAACTCCGGCGATCTCGAGGCACTGAAGTTAACAGTAGAAGGGTCGGGTGGAAATGAAGGAGACAATCGAGCGGCCTGGATTTCCGCTTTAATGGCGTTGCGAAACGACGCAGGAGAAACAGCTATTTATATCGCGGCTGACAATAATTTAGTGGATATATTTAATTACTTGATCAAGTTCTGTGATCTCCAGATGGTGATGATCAGGTCAAAGTCGGATATGAATGCATTTCATGCTGCTGCTTGGCGCGGGAACTTGGGTACTTTACTTTTCTGAAAATTTGGTTCAATTGCTACGACTTGAGGATATGTTAATTCTTCGATTAATCAATTAATGATGTTCTGGTTAATGCGGCAAAGATTTAGAAAATTCAAGCTTTTCCTTTTTTTTTTTGTCTTTTTGATTACCAAATTTAAATGTTTGATGTGAGACTGTTCGGAAATTTTGTATTTGATTTCTTAATGTGAGATTGTCTAACGCATATCTTTCTTCTCCTGATCTATTGGTTTTATGGATTCTGAATTCCAATCTTACAATTGGATATCCTTGGATAGATTGCTATTTCCTAGAGTACCCTGTTTCCTGGAATTAGGATCCTCTTTGTTGCTTCACGATAGGAAGCCTGTTCTTGATGCATGTATCAGCTAACTACACTAACAGCATATGATATATTCAGCCTAGTAAAACATGGGTGTGACTCTTCATTTATCAAAAAAAAAAAAAAAAAGAAAAAAAAACATGGGTGTGACAATTCCCAACAAGCTGTTAGTACATACTCGTCTTTAAGAAATTCTCCCTGTTCAGTATTTAACTTGTGCTCTGGATTAATTGGAGTACAAAAAGATTAAGGAATAGAAGGAATTGCAGTTGGTTCGTTTGTCTTGTTTCAATAATTTTCCAAGAGAAATAAAGTCTACTAAGGTTAAGCCTAGTAGACTGAGAGGTCTATCTATTAGTGATCAGCATAAGTTACCCAGGATTAATGGAATTAGGTAGCACATGCTAGCCTAATTTCTGTATATTATGTAAATTACACTGTACTTTATCTTCATTAATGAATAAATTTACTATTACATATCAAAAAAAGAAAGAAAAAAGAAGTTATCCGTACAGGACTTCCCATGGGACCCAAGTGATCACTCTGAATCCTATTTGCAATTATTGTCTAGTATGTATGTGCATGGATTCATAACAATAAAAAGGATTAAAAAAAAACTATCAAAAGAAAAGGATTACAAAAACAACTTTTGTGCAACCTTGCAATGCACCAAATATCCTGTTACTATGCAAATCTAAGCACTCATTTGGGACATCTGACCCATTTCTCTAACAAAATTTTCTCCTTTTGACTTGACATTTATCAATCATCAAACTATGGTTGGATTGGACAGGAAACCATCTCCTAGAGAAACCATGCATGGGTGCAAGTTCATGCCTTACCTACTCATTTTTGTGTATTCAAATATTCCTTTCTCTGCAAGTTCAGGCTCCTACCATAATATGAATCTGGCCTTCTTCAATAGGTTCCTAGTTTGTATGGTGACTTTACCATTCAAGAACCAAACTTATTGTTGTCAGGTAGTGTATCTAGATATCATAGAACACATACATGATTTCACATCAATAAGTTAAAACATTTAATAAAAAGAGCTATTACCCAATGTTTGAGCTGGCCATAGAGGTGCGTACTGGAACTTTATTGTTTTTAATTTACGGAACTTAATTGGTTGGTACTCTGAAGTCATGTAATTTCATGTAGTTTAAGAATTTTAAGGGACTTTTGGGAATTTGAAATTTTCTAGAATTTCTGGGAAGTTTGGAATTTTCAACATTTATAAATTTAGACCAGTTTCAGTTATTCCCTTTTGAAATTAACATTGTATTTCCATGAAATTATTGCATTTTTCTGAGTGTGCTAATATTCTGTAATTTTTAATTATGTTCTATTGGCTTATTAATTTTGATTGCTCAATGAAACATATGTTTACCATTGTTTGCCCCAGCAATTGTGAAAGAACTATTGAGCATGTGGCCAGAGCTTTGTAGATCATGCGATTCTTCAGACACTAGCCCTCTTTATTCAGCTGCCAAAAAGAACCACCTGGATGTAGTGAATGCCATACTTGATGCAGATGCAGGCTCAATAAGGATTGTGAGAAAAAATGGGAAAACCTCACTGCACAATGCTGCACGTTATGGTCCTCCCCAAATAGTAAAAACACTTATAGATAAAGATCCAGGAATTGTGTCTATTCAAGATAAGAAAGGACAGACTGCACTTCATATGGCTGTAAAAGGTCAGGATCCTTCTATAGTGGAAGAGATATTGTTTGCTGATCTTTCAATACTAAATGCACGTGACAAGAAGGGAAATACAGCTGTGCATATAGCCACAAGGAAATGCCGTCCTGAGGTATCCCTTTGCTTCTTTTTGTGAAAGATATATGCATTGCAAACCTAAGACGCATATGCATGGATATTTTAGATAGATATTGCAAACAAGGATATGACTTGATTTATAGATATCCAAGATTTGGATATGGATACATGTCTCATACTATTATGATGATACCTCACTTTTAGATTTTTGTCCTTTTTCTAAGGCCAAGTAAAACTTTACATGCTTTTGTGAAGTTTTTTTATAGTATGTTTTCTTTTTCTGTTTATCATTTTGCAACTGTCCTTTGAATAAAAATGCCCTATAAATTCACGGGGTGCTTGGTGTCAATATCAATGTTGTATAAGCCTGCTTAGGTTTTGATGTGGGCATCAAAATGGTTCTAAAGTTGACTGTGGGAATTTTCTATTTTTTTCTTATCCTTTAAATTGTCATACGGATGATTTCATCATTTTACATTTTGATGTGGATTTGAATAATTGTAAGTCATTAATTAGGAAATTGGTAGTGTTGTTTCAAAATTTTCAAGTCATTGGTCAATGGGTAAAAAGTTAAAATTGCTATATTTCCCTTATTTGGGTGTGCATTGGCAATTTCATAATTATAATGAACTGGTAACCCAAACACACTAGTTACCTATATATGTATATGTTACCTTAACTCTTTAAGGCACAATAGAATAAGAAATTGGAATTTTTCTCAGATTGTGTTGTTTTCTTTCCTTAAATTGTTACATTCATGAAGCTGAATTTTGATGGCAATAGATTAAGGAACCCAGGGCTCTCTGGTATAGGGGGAATGTTCAGGAATGAAGAAGGGCTTATTATTGGAGGAGACTCTCTTAGGGCTGAGATCCTTGCGGCTCTGGAAGGTGCACAAAGAGCAAGGGAATTGAACCTAAAAAGTGGTTTTTGAAGGTGACTCAGAGGTAGTGGTGAGATGGCTAAAGGAAGATAACTCTAGTATCTGGAACTACAGCAATGAAAAGAAAAAATTTAAGTGGCTGACTAGGGACATTGAGGTGAAATACAGTTGGGTAAAGAGAACTGCTATCTCACTTGCTGATGGGTTAACCAAGCAAGGGGTGAATAGGGGATCTTTCTTTGGGCTCATTTCTAATTTTGTATCCTTTGTTTTGCTAAAATAGGGGGGTTAAGAAAGTTTACCTCCCCCTTTCTTGTAATTAAAATTTCTTATTCTTAATAAATTCTGCCATTACTGATCAAAAAAATATTTATTGGAGTTTTAGATCTATCTATTAGGGATGCCAATTTTCTTTAATTTGATCTGTCTTCAACCTCTAGAAGTTTTTTCTACTCATTTACTTCTATTGAGTTCCTAGAAAACCCTAGATTAGAACTTTAGTCTAGAATTCATCCACCTTAGAAATTTTAGAAAACACCATGAAAATCTCTCTTTGTATCAAAATCCCTCTCTCATTCACACACTCCCTTCAAGCCATTTTGTTTAACTGATCATATTTTTTAAAATATAAAAATATTTTTCTATCCCACTTGGTTCTGTGTATGTAGGATTTTTGTCAGTTTCTCTCTCTCTCTAAATTTTTTTTTTAAGTCTTAACCTTACCTTTCAATTCTAAACCATTCCTTAGACCTATCCCCATATTCCTAACCCCAAACCCTAGCTTTAAATCCTATCATTTCATTAGTTCTCTTCATCTTCTTCATTTCTTTTTTACAATAGTCCCCTATTTTAAGCACCTGTCAAGTTTTTGAAGGAATCTGACATCAGATTCCCAGGTATTACAGTTATAAACTCCATGAATGTTTGATTCATGTATCATGTTAAGAATCACTTGTGTGGCTTTGGTTAAGGTGCAACAGATAGACCATTCTGTAATCATTTGAGCAATCCTGTCACTTTGTATTAACGCCTGTTAGTTGATTACCTTTTCAACATGCAAAATGATGCCTGATTTTATATTTATTATACCTTACTCGGAAACCTAAAATCACTTGATAATGCAACCCTGAAGATGGATACCTTTGGTTCTATATATTGTGAAAATTTTCTATTATTTCAAGGATTTCATGTTTATTTCTATCTACATAAATCACCCTTTAATTGCATGATTGAAATACACTTTGTCAGATGCTGTATAGATCAAGTTATTAGGGGCATTGAAAATCCCCTATCACCATAGGGCCTTAGATTAAGGGTGCAAGTTGGGTCAGGTTAGGTTGGGTTGAGGTCAATCCTAACCCAACCTTAGTTGTTGAACCCTTAATCCTAATCCTTACCCAATTCGATGACTGGGTTGGGTTGGGTTCAGGTTATCCCAATTTCTTTACTTCTTTTTGCTCTTAAAAAAAATCTCATTGCTTAGAATTGGGATTGACTTTTTGGGATGGGTTCAGGCTAATCCAGTCCAAGTTGCATCCCTACCTTAAGACTGTCTTTTTCCATTGGTATTTTGGGGGCTGATTATGGAAAGTAGTGTTTAATGTATTCCTTGAGGGTAAGCGGAGGCATAACCTATTAAGAGGATGGAATACTTATCTTTCAGGTGAACTCCTAATCTTTCTGAGCCCCAAGATTGACCAACTGGGTTGCTGATTGACTACTTAAATAGGGTCTGGGGAGACCTTTTTAATGGCGTGCTACTTTAATAGCATAGGGTCCATTATTGTCCTTCCCTTATTTTTCTCATTTTTATCATTGATATTGTCTTTCCCAAATTTTGTTTTTATCCTTCCTTTTTTGGAGATTTTTTTAATTCTCTTTGTATTCTGGCTCTTTCTTTGAGACTCTGGCTTTTGATTCTTAGTTTCATTGACAAATCCTATATTATATTGATTTAAAAAGCAATCTGAGGTAACCCCTCTTCTAAAATCGTGAATGACTAGTCATTTGATTGACATGAATACCCCAGCACTGGTGATGGGCATTATGTAAATTGGTCTTTTTCTTGAACCGAACAATTTTCCTCTTACAATGTGGATTAACTGGAATGCTGATTATTTATGTATACAATTTTTCAACTAGATCATTGTCATCATGTAACCCTTGCCTGAAATATAGGGGTGGCTGCAGTTTTTCAACTAGATGATTTAACTTAACTGTTACATAACATGTGTTATTCTCCAATGATATTCTATCTATCGTGCATGTTTCCTGTAAATGGGGCTGGAAGCCGTTGTAAATTCAATTTGAACTTACATATTTTGTAGGTCTCATTTTGATCTATCCTTTATACTAACTAGGTGTTCTCTTTCAGATATTAAGCCTTCTCTTGAGCTATGACTCCATTGAGGTCAATGCCATTAATAAGCAGAACGAAACTGCACTGGATTTGGCAGAAAAACTCCAGTATGGAGAACCTTCATTGGCAATTAGGGAGGTTCTAGTAGAGGTAGGGGCTAAAAATGCCAGGAACGTAGGCCGAGTTGATGAAACTATGGAGCTGAAAAGAACTGTAAGTGATATAAAGCATGAGGTGCAGTCACAATTTATACAGAATGCAAAGACCAATAAAAGAATGTCTGGAATTGCCAAAGAGCTGCGGAAGCTGCACAGAGAAGCAGTTCAGAACACCACCAATTCTGTGACAGTTGTTGCTGTTCTTTTTGCCTCCATTGCTTTCGTGGCTATATTCAATTTGCCTGGTCAATATTTTCGGGATGGATCAGATGTTGGGAAAGCTCGTATAGCTGACACTGTTGGATTTCGTGTATTTTGCCTGTTGAATGCTACATCTCTGTTCATTTCTCTAGCTGTTGTTGTGGTTCAGATTACTTTGATTGCCTGGGATACGCGGTCTCAGAAGCAAGTTGTTTCAGTAGTAAACAAGCTAATGTGGGCAGCCTGTCTTACCACTTGTGGGTCTTTTCTCTCTCTGGCTTTTGTGGTTGTGGGGAAGAAACGCTCTTGGATGGCTATTACCATAACCTTGATAGGCGCTCCAATTCTTCTGGTAACTCTTGCTTTCATGTGCTACTTCGTTTTACGACAACATTTCAATATATTTGGCGACGACTCTCATAGACGAATTAGGAGGGCAAGTTTTAGTAAATCTTTCTCGTGGTCTCCGTTCTCTCCCTTTTCAGATCCTGATGCACTTAATTCTGACCATGAGAAGATCTATGCTTTGTAACTTTGTCTTGGCCGATTCAAGCATGTCAAAGGCTGGTCTCAGATGTTGTAAATATGTAGTCTCTAGTGTTCCTCAGCGGCAGTGTCATTGGCTGATAATTAGCGCTTTTTACCTTAACCACATACCGAATTTTGGGTTTGAAGTTGTATAATGTAAGTCAGCCGGATGCGCTACAATCAGTTTGCTAGAAAGACAAATAAACAGTAGCATTGTATAGATATTGTATATGCAAGTAATTTTAAATAAATATTCTAGTACTTGATCTTATGCGCTTCAGCTTGTAAATATTACACAGTTTCCCACTAATAGATTGTTTGCTGCAATAAATTTATAAATCAGTTCCCGACGCTTAAGTTTTTACTGCATGTAAGATATAACAGTCGATAGATGTAGTTTCAATTAACCTGGTATTGAATACTGTGTTGTTCCTTCTCAGCCCCCTTTCCCATCTCTTGGGTGCATATTAGAGTTTGGTTTGGTGCTTGTTTTCTGTTTTCTGGAAATATCTATTACCAAAAACAAGATTGGCCCACTTGATTATGAATTAGTAACAAATGAACCATTGGCAGCGAATAATAATCGCTTGTAAGTTTTTCCCCTACTTCTCAACCTTTTAGAACTTTCATAATAACATGAATGCCTGTCGCACACATTCAAAGAGAAGAAAACCATAAATTATAGATAACAATGAATACTTTTAGATACATTTGTTAGGTGATGCGTGGGGAAGTAGTTCTCCCCCACGCATCACCTAACAAATGTATCTAAAAGTATTCATTGTGAAAATTGGTGCTTGCTACTTAGTAAAGTGACCAAATTTGCCAGCCAATCAGCCATGAAGTTGGCTTCTCTAAATACATGCATGAACGTGACTATGATCCCAAACATGAAACACCTAGCACACCTCATTGCACTCTTCTAGAATTGGCTTAACATTCCTAGGGGGTCTTCTCTTCCTCTTAAAACCACTAATTATAATACTGGAATCCCTCTCAACGATAATCCTGTAGCGAGAGAATTTTACAGCAACATGCACCTCATCCAATGCCGCCCAAACTTCAGCCGTGCTGATTGAGCAGGACCCGATGTCCTTGCTTACCACAAATAGCACCTTGCATTCATTATGTCTTGTTACAACTATTGAACATCTTCCATGGGAGGGTCTTCTGATCGACAATCTATTACTTATTTTGCAACTTCCCTCAAAATATGAAAATCTTAAATGACTGTATACTTCGCAATTGATTCCATTCACCTCATGTTTAAGTAGACTCCATTTGTTTTCTACCCTCCCCATTTTCTATCTCGTCTCCTTTTCCCTCGCAGTATCTTTTCCCTTGCCTATATTATGTTTTGCATACTAATGCCAATAGAAATGACGGGGTAAGGACCCAAATGAAGAAACCAATAAAGGATGTAGGAAACCCATTATAGGACGCCTAAACCTAACCCTCCAAGACGATGCTACAAGGATATCCAAAGCAATCAGGGTTTGAAGAGAAAAAAGAAGTAATAAAACAAATCACAGATAAGACACCAAAATCAAATTTTCAGGATGAACAATGTACACAATTCCCTGAATGCTTTACTTTTTTTTGAGATTGCTGTCAATGATAACAATACAACGAACTGCATACCCTACATTCAATTTTTCCTTCTTGCCCATATGGTCTCCAATAAAAAAAATAACAGAACCACACGAGCATACCGTCTGCAAAAGCAAAAGAATAGCCCAGGAATGCCCAAGCTTTATCTTCAGTAAACCCAATTCCTACCAATCCCAACCTCCACAAATTCATCACAACAAACCACTAAGATATACAATTTTACAATTATACCAGACCTTGTCTGATTTGTGAACATAAAAATAATATGTGTAATTGCGTATTCCTCAAAAACGAGCTTGGTAGAATAACAAACTATAACCAGAGCAAAGATGAAGCATCGAGTCAATGTTGTAATTGTCCTGGCCCTCTCCATGATCTTGGAGGGTGGGTCATCTCTGGCATGGGTGAAGGTCGGTGAGCTTCTTCCAGAGACAATCTTTGCACCTCCTGCACATCAAATTGTTGTACCCCTTTATGTTTCAGACAAGAAAATGGCAAATCTATATAGGACAGAAACGAAAATTTGAACATTTGAAAAGTTCAGGTTGAAAGGATATTATCACGAATATCATAAAATACATGACTAAGATAAACAATGTGCTGACGTAATTTGGCCAACCTGTGATAAGTTGGATGAAGAGGAATTATGAGACTGCAATCGTGGTTTTGTGTTTATGCGGTGTTGGTGCTGCATGTGTTCAAACTGCTGTAACCGTGATGCAAAATTGATTCCATTATGAATATTACTTGAATCCTGATTCTTGTCCCCATCCTCCATTATATGCGATCCACTCGGCATGTGATGTAAAATCTGTGAATATGGGTTTCCTGAAGATGCTCGCTTCAATTGCTCATCACTGAAGGAGTATAAAGGCACAGTTCTTAATCTAGTTCGCAGTATCTTGAAGGCTGAACTTTGCTGCAACGAATGAAGTTACGATTGAACAGAAGATTCCAAAAACTCGAACAATAAGGTCCAATGACAAGAAATATGCATATTAGTTGGTGTATGGGCAAAAATCAGGGCTTTGAAATTAATCTGTAAATAATTTTGCAAGCAGTATGGCAACACTGGTGAGAGAACCTATCACAATCAATGATATTTCAATAAGTTCACCTTCTCCATTCAAAGTAGCTTCGGTATTCAGAGGGTTACAAAATCATCTAAGTTTATACTTACAAGCAGGATATCCAGTTCCTCTCTACATAGGGAAATTAACCAAAAAACCCCTATCTTAATGTGCAGAAAAAAAAATAATAGTGTCCACCCCAGTTTCCTCAAGTCAAGTAATGAATAAAGAGAGAGATGTCTTTAAGTTTTAGGCATACCTGGGGTAGCAACATAATAAGGCCATACAGGGCCTTCAACAACCATATGTGTCTTCCAGGTTCAAGAAGCTGCAACATCAAAAATTGGATGAAATAAGCTCCACCTTGTTTGGATAAAGAGAAAACAAAGGAAGGAGAGGTTCCTTCAGAGCAGCCAAAGCAAGTACATAAATAAGACTGAGAAACAAAGGCAACATAACAGATAAATCAGATTCATCAATTAAACAACAAAAGATGGATCAAAATGATCAGGCTTTAATAGGAAATAGGGAATCTGGTATTAAACTGGATTTTGGTGCTAGCAGAATTTGTTAAAATTGAAGAGAGATTTGTTTGGATTAGATTTTTGGACTAATTTGGAGTTGTCGGTGGTGCTTCGTCACACAATCGATATTGTAAGACTGCTTTTTCTATTTAATAAAATTTCTTTTTATTTACTATCAGAAAAACAAGTTCTGATGCCACTTGTCCCTAAAGTGTTCCCTTTAAAGACCTTCAAAGGCTGCGAGAATGCTTCCCATCTCTTTTTTGTGCCTTCTATTTTACCACCAAGTTCTGCAACTAAAGACTGTTTGCCAAAGATTTTCCCATTCCTCTCCTTCCTAATGGATAGCAAACAACAAAAGGTGTGAGATTCCATTAAATTCTGCCCCTACTGCTGAATCATAATTCAGATAAGCTAAACACTATAAAATCCTAATTGAGAAAAGCTATACTCACCAATAAGACTGGAACTGAAGCTTTCCCAATTTTGGGAAAAGAATTAATATCTTTTTCCTTTTTTCAATGATGACAAGTAAGCATTGGTAGTTATAAATTTTAGAGTTTTCCAAATTCTGAAGAAACATTAATTACTTTAGTTGCAGATCCCACCTGCAATAATCTGAAATAAAGAAAAGAAAAACAGAAGAGAAGAAGATGGAAGAGAGAAAAGTAAAGGAGGAAGAAGAAGGGAAGGAAGAAAAGTGAGAGTTTTGACCCCTCTTCAGCCCCCAATGATCTCTTTTATTCTTTTGTTGTAAAAAATAAGGAAAATTACATGAGTGCTCTTAGTAAGGCGTCCAACAATAAAGACAGCAATAAAAAACAATAAAAAAGAGAAACAGGCCCATAATTAAGGCCCACTACCTAACACAAGTCATAAACATAACTTAAAGAAAAAAAAAAAAGAAACTAAGGCCCATTCGGCCCATCATCTCTACAACTTTGTAAGAATCAGGCAGGAAATAGTTGTTGGAATTGCAGTTAATCAATTAATCATTAAATAGAGAATGCAACCAGACTTGGACAATATATTCCTTTAGCACTAAAAACTTGTACTGAATTGGAGGCAATACATCTGCTACACCAATAAGGAAGAAAATGTGGATTGAATAATGCAATAATAACATCTGATTAGGGCTATATCTCAATCTTGGCCCTAAGTTTTTGTTGTGGTGATGGTCTATCTTGTCTTTGGAGTATGGGGCCTTCTGGAATTGGTTGGTGTATCTAAAAAAATGCCAATTTTGATGGGGCCTCAAGAGACTTCTCTGCATTTAAGGAGGGACTAGAAGAGACCTGTGTAATGCACAAGCTGGTGTTAAAAAGATGTCCTTGTTCTACAGGGGAGTGAGTACATTCAATTTCCTAATGAAAAAGAATATGAATTAGTTGTCGGTGAGTTTAAATAGTATCATTTTTTATTTTTGAAAATTTCCAAAAACTACAAAATTATAAAAGGGTTTGGAAGCAATGTGAGAATTCTGACATGGACAACTGTATCTTAAGTATATAGAATAGATTTTGTGTCGATTTGTTTTAGGTTTAGGTGGAACCAGGAATTTGTTGGGGGGGGGGGGCTCAGTTTCCTCCCTGTTCCCATATATCTCCTATATAAAATAGTCCTTTTTCTACATATTTCTATACCTTGTCACATTTAATTATTTGAAACAAGAATTCTCATTAAGTTAGAGACATCATGCATCAAGGCTTACCTTATGCTCACCTCACTCAACTTCCACTTTAAAAAAATAGGTTACACATAATGGTGAAGATATTGCATTTTCAAACTAAGACTTCTGAACTTTTGAATTAGAGAAACAATTAGTAGCCCACCACAAACCTGCAATCTTAGATAAGCAAAGACTGGAGTCTCCAGCAAGCGGATCAGTTTGTCCAGCTGAACTAAGAATTTGGCATTGATATCTTCCTCCACCAATGACTGAATCACACAACTTGCGTGCTGGTATGCCTGTCAATAAATATCATAAACATTTATGAAAAAGCAACAAGGTACTCAATGATTGGAGGGAATAGCCATCAGATCATACATACCTGAGCTAATAAGCAAAGACTTATTGTTGCCATTGGTGAATGACACCAAGAAGAATACAAAGAAACAAATAAATCTTTTCCAGCAGCATTCACCAGTGATTGCTTCAGAAGATCCCGCAAACCAGACAATTCAGATGAAGTAAGCAAAATCAAATTCAGAGCCTGAAAAGGCAAAGAAAATGTGTTATAAATGAACCATAAGAACCATTTTGTAGACTCCAACAGGGATACAAGAATAACCAAAAAAATTTAAAACCTGAACCATGACAGAGGCAAAATCCAAGTCAGCTTCTCCCTCAAGAATTCTGGAGAGTTCCCTGTAGACTCTTTCAGCATCCAAAAGCACACAAAGTCGACGGATTATCAAAGCACCACGCCTGGAAAACAGAAATATGAAGCTTTCATAAAAGACCGGATGTATGTTTAAATTTTCAAAACAGAATAAATAAAAAAACAAAGCTGAAATCTCAAACTTCAGTAAAGAAATTCACCTCTCAAGAAGTGAAAGGTTGACCCGGAAGTTATGCATTAGAAAAACAACAAGTTGGCGGAAATGAGGTTCATCTCTTGCTATACATGCATGCACCTCAAGCACCAGGAGCACAACCTACACAATGGAAACAATTTAGATTTAAAGAGCAGGTGAAGACAAAACAAGTCCCAATACCCGCAACTCAAACTCATGAAATAATGGCAATGGACCACTTGAATTTTTGAGTATAATTTTCATGATACCAGAATGAAATGCACAAAATCAAAAAACAATGTTAAACAATGGCAAGGTAGTGTGCATCTTTACCTCTTTTATATTTTATAATAAAGCAAAGATTCATTTAAAACTGCATTAGCCAAGAAAATTATCATAGGTAGAAAAAAACAGTAAATGGATTAAATTTTGGTTAATAATTACTAATTCCACTTAAAGTTTGTCATTAATTTCAGAATGACAAATACTTAGAATTGGACCACAAAGACACACCTAAATTTTCCCCACTGCTTCTATATTAAGCATCCAACTGCCCTCAAAATCCGCAAAAGACCAAATTGCTATTCTGTAACAATCTTATCAAAACAATAAAATCTGCAAAGGCCACTCCTGACTATCATGTCAATTTTACCAAAAGAAACTTGTCAATCCTTACCAAAATAAGGGCAAAACAAACCAAAAAAAAATGAAAAAAAAAACGTAATCAGATTTTAAATCAAAACTGCTGTTAAAATATATGCTTCTTTGAAATGTTGAACAACAATCAGTAACCATTGTGGAACATTGGAAACATCTGACACTCTGGACATTCTGGTCAAATGTCATGTATATTTGTGTCAAGCGAAAAATTCCTCCCTTCTAATAATGTCTCTGCTGTTGTGTTAGCTATTTGCACTCTTCTCAAGTTGTTTAGGTCTTCTGTATTAATTGGTTCCATCATTGCTAAAGGTGACACCTTCAGTACCTCATCCTCTCTCTGTTCATGGTTCCTCCACTCCATCTAAGTTCTAAACTAAGTTTTCTCTGTTCCTCCGGGATTTTGGACAGTTGGACTCATCTTCCATGCTGCCATCACCATTAGTCTTTGATACCTCCCTGGCCACCTCCACTCCCCTCCTTCATCAATGATCAGTTTCTTGTGGGATAGAACTTATTAGGATCTTATCTTTAGACCAGTTGGCTATGAATCGGTTCACCCATTAAACCATTTTCACCCTGGTTCAGCCAAGGTGAGCAGCAAGCCAATGAGTACAAAGCAGCTTACATCAATAGCATCCTAAAAAGCAGAAAAACATAGTTATAATCTGTTACAGATTACAACCCGGCCTTGGGCAGCCCCATTCAAGTACATCCCTCTCCACCCCAACTAATGGAATAGCTGACTCTTTAGCTAAGCAAGGGATGCATAGGGATCATCTTTTCTGGGCTCAGTTGTAATGTGGTGTTGTTTGGGAGGCTGCATCTCGCACCTCCCCTTGGGAAGTCTTTTGTATAACTTGATTATGATGTCCTATTAATAAAATATTTTTTCTACTATTCATCAAAAAAAAAAAAAATTGAAACCTAGAGAATGAGCCAATCTCACCATAAGCCTGAATTGCCATGGGGTCTGATCCAGAGTCCTCATCCAGCAGATAATTGTTTGGAAATCACCCTCAATCTCCACACTCTTCAATTCCTACAGTACGCCAGTGCCATTAGCTTTAACACTTGCATTAGGGCTATCAATTCTTACCTTAGGGAGTTCCCATGGCCAGCTGGACCCCAGTAACTAAGATTTATGTTGCCCTCATGGTCCCTCACCACTCCTCCCACTCCTGTCTCTCCCATATTACCAAGACAGCACCCATCAAAGTTTAGTTTATAACCCCAACTGTGGGGACCATTCCACTACCCTCTGAGGCCTGCTACTTTGAAACCTTGCAAAAATTTGCCACTCCCTCAACATATCATATCATTTAGATTGACACCTTTAAACTCATTACAAATCAATGCCCAATTTGCGGCACTTATCATTGTGAGTTCAATCAATTTCTCTTCAAAGATTCTAGCATTTATTTCACACCAAAGTCCCCATAAAGCTGCACCACACTTTTTTTAAGAGGCAACATCTATGATTCATTAATAACAAAAAGAGGGGGGATACACCACACATACACATTGCCACAGTATTTTCTGTCTTCAGATAGAGCAGCTTAGAGGCAATCATGGGCCAGTTCAGGCCAAGCCAGGCTTTGGGCCCAAGTCACAAATTAAATTTTATAAAATACACATAACATTTTATATTATGACATATAACACCATCATCATCATTCATGCCTTATCCCAACTATATAGGATTGGCTACATGACGTATAACATGTATAAAAATATAAGATAAAATTTATATAAATATGAAATATTATATATTATATGTGGTATTTTATAATATTTATATATAAACATATATTTATAAAAAATAACATATATACAAGTATATATTTAATATATAAATAATATATTGCAGGCCCAGGCCAGGCTAGGCCTGAACACAAAAACCTAGGCCCAAGCCCAGAAATTCCCAAACTGAAAATGATCACCCCCCTACTTATCAAAGAAAAATGATCACCCCTAGAGCAGCTCATCACATCTCAGTCAAACAAATCCACAACTTTAAAGGGTGCCACCCCAAGCTCTTCCAACCAAAGGGAGAATGTTGCCACTTACCACACCTAAGAGGCATGGGGACAATGCAAAAGGAGTAGTTTGCAGTTTCCCCACACTTCAAGCAAAGGACGCACACACATGTGGTGAGAGAGATCAATTTTTCCACTTCCTTTTGGAGTCTTCCATAGGTGCTTATGATTTGATTGGCTGCCTCCCAACAAAACATCTTAATTTTGGGGGAATTACCAAATTAGGCTAAACTAAAACTCTTTAACAAGAAAGAAAGTGTCCTCATTTGGTGTGTAAAATGTCCTAAAAAAAGGCACAGGTGAAACTATCTTCAACAGTAGGGGTGACACCCTCTCATCAATACTATACAAGTTGACATCCTAAAGCATGCAAAGCAAAGGAACCAGCTCACCTATTTCATGGTCTTTCAAAGGGAGGGAACTCAGTTGACTATCCTAGTTGTCTATGTTGCTGATATAGTCGTGACTGATAATAACATGGCTAAAATTGATTCACTGAAGCTTCTTCTCAATATAGAGTTTGAGGTGAAAGATTTGGGTAAACTAAGATATTTTTGCACATTAAAGTTACTAGGTCACAACATGGTATCTTTATTTCCCAGAGGAAATATGTTCTTGACCTCCATAAGGAAATTGGAGAGTTGGGGGTTAAACCAACTGAATAGAATCACCAAGGTTCAAATATCGATATGGCCAATACGCCGGTAGGGGCGTATTGGCCTGTATCTAAGCTGATTTCTCCTTTTTTTTTTAGTTTTTTTAACCTGGTTCAGAGGGGTCAGTTTAAGACCTGTCTACCCTCTGAACCGGGTTAAACCCCGAAACACCCCCTGTAGGGGCATATTGGGAAGCCCCCGATACGATATGTATCAACCGATACAGCTCGATACATATTTAAATTTCAAACCTTGAGAATCACAGGATTAATGCAAAGAATGGAGAGTTTCTAAGAATAAGGTCATGTATCAAAGACTTGTGGGTAAATTACCTATGTATGACTCAACCTGGCATCTCACATGCAATCAGTGTTGTTAGTCAATATATGCATGCCCCTAGGATTACAAAACGTGCAGCTATTGATAAGACACTTGCTTATTTGAAAAAGCATCATAGCAGATGGATATTGTGAAGTAGTTACGGTCATGTTAAGATAAAAGTGTACACAGATGTAGATTGAGCTGTGTGTATCAATATTGAATTACATCTTGACAGTATCCTCTTATTGGTGGCAATCTTGTTTCTTAGAAGAACAAGAATCGAAGTGTTGTTGCTCGTTCTAGTGTTGAAGTAGAATATAAATCTATAGCCCATGATGTATCTAAAGCGTTATGGTTCAGTCCCTTCTTAAGGAGTTAGGTGTTGATTATGAAAGGCCACTAATGTTATATTGTGATAATTAAGCAGCCATCAACATAACACATAATCCAATACAACATGACAGGACTAAAAATTTTTTTTTTGATCAATAACAAATTCATTATATTCATTGAAACATCAAACTAATTACAGCACGGAAGACAAACACTCTTACCTTCCGAATACAACTTAAACCCTCCAAAGAGGGAAAAGAAAAAAATAAACAGTTAAGTTACAACGTAGCCCAAAACATTGCTTCCCTTTCTATCCCTTGTTTAGCAAACCCATCAGCTAAAGAATTAGCTGATCTCTTAACCCAGCCCATCCCGATTTCCATCCCCCGCACCAGCCACCTGAATTTCCTCTTCTCATTTCTGTAGTTCCATAAGCCGCAGTTGTCTTTAATCAGCCACCCTATCTCTGCCTCCAAGTCCCCTTCAATTAAGAGTCTTCTAACATTCATCTCCTTGGCTTTCTGAACTCCTTCCATAACTGCCAAGATCTCAGCTCTAAGGGAATCCCCGACACCAATTGGGCCTGAGAACAGGGCAGAGATGATCCCGTTCTCATCCCTAAAAACACCTCCAATCCCTGAATGTCCAAGATTCCCCCTACAGCTCCCATCGAAATTTAATTTTAAGAATCCAGCAGGTGGGGGAGTCCAAGACACCCTTATCATTGGTTTGATCTGTGCAATTTGCAATCTCCCCCCACTTTCTCAACATGTCTTCCATTGTGTAGTCTGTAAATAGCTCTAGTGATTTCAGCCACTGTACAGCCCTTATATGGATCACGGCAATCAATTCTTCAGCTCCTCTCCTTTACCGAGAAGATCCTAGAATTTCTTTCTTCCCATAATGACCAGCATATTGCAGCCCTCAGCCCTCTCCACATAGTCCTTCCCCTTTTCATGTGCCACCTGAAAAAAGAAGGGGAAAAAAGGCTCAACAAGTCTGATGGAGGGTTCCACCTGCACCCAAAGAGAGAAAAAGCCCACTCCGAAATTGACTTCGCAAATTAGCAAGACACCAGAAAGTGAAAACCAGTCTCCCCATTCGCTTTGCAAAGAACACACCAGTGAGGTGACAAGCAAGTATTGGGTCTCTTCTTTTGGAGCAAATCCCCAATGTTGAATCTTTCCAAATAGATTTCCCAACAAAAACCACTAACCCTAGGAGGATTGGTCTGCACCAAATCTCATTAACTGGGAAAGGGGAGGTTGTAGGACTGGTGGACTGGCAAAGGACTTTGAAGAAGGAAGCACAAGAAAAAGAGCCCGTGGGGGTAGGGGTCCAAATTCTAGAGTCCACCTTAGAAGGGTCTAAGAACACATTATCAAGAAGTTCATGGAGGCTCGAAATACTATCAAGGTCTGAATCCCTCACAGCCCTCCTCAGACCCAGGTTCCACCTAAACCCCGAACTGGAAGAGGAATGGGTGATGAAAGAAGAAATTGGCTCATGTTTAAGATCAGAAAGAGCATAAAAAGAAGGAAACTGGTCCTTAAGAGGAGCATTCCCCGCCCAAATTTGTTCCCAAAATTTTATGGAATTACCTGAATTCAAATCATACCCGACAAGAGGGGAGAAAGCTGGAAGCAGATCATGAATGGCTTTCCAAGGTGAAGTGCTTGTGGTCCTTGCTCTGATTCCAGCATCCCATCCATTTTGCTCCAGCCCATGTATGCTTGCCACTATTCTAGCCCACAGCTTCTCCCGCTCCAAAGGAAACCTCCACAACCACTTCCCCAAAAGGGCTGAATTCCTTTTCCCAATGTTCCCAAGCCCCAAACCCCCAAAATTTTTACTCCTAGTCACCACCTTCCAGCTAACTCTATGGTCCCTGTTCTCCTCTCCTGGCTCCCAAAGGAAATCTCTCTTCAACCTCTCCATACATGGGCATGTTTGCTAACATGCCCATGTATGCTTGCCACTATTCTAGCCCACAGCTTCTCCCACTCCAAAGGAAACCTCCACAACCACTTCCCCAAAAGGGCCGAATTCCTTTTCCCAATGTTCCCAAGCCCCAAACCCCAAAATTTTTACTCCTAGTCACCACCTTCCAGCTAACTCTATGGTCCCTGTTCTCCTCTCCTGGCTCCCAAAGGAAATCTCTCATCAACCTCTCCAGCCTACTACAAACCTTCCTTGGAATCTTAAACACTAAAAGGAAGTAAATGGGTATGTTTGCTAACATGGCCTTGATCAGTGTAATCCTACCACCCAAAGAAAGGTAATTCTTTTTCCAAGAGACAAGTCTTTTTTCAAATCTTTCCACCACCGGATTCCAAAAGCTCTCTCTCTTAGGATTATCACCTAGGGGCAACCCTAGATAACTCAACAGCCACCCTGAGACTTCACACCTAAGTACTTCTGCACTCTCCCTAATCTCTCTCTCCTCCAGATTCACACCCACTACATAGCTCTTCCCAAAGTTCACCTACAAATTTGACATTTGCTCAAATAGATGGATCACAAGTTTCATATTCCTGATGAAGCTCACGTTACCTCCTTCACAAAACAGGATCGTATCATCAGCAAACTGTAAGTGAGTGAGTGGGATTTCCTCCCTTCTAACCCTCCAGCCTCTAATGAGACCCCTAGAGTTTGCTCTGTGAATCAATTTCCCCAGAACATCAACCAGTAAGAACAAAAAAGGAGATGAGGGGTCTCCCTATCTTATACCCCTAGTGGCTGGGAAGAAATCTACCATTGTCCCATTCACTAGCACTGAATAATGACAATTCCGATCATAGCCCATGATCCATTTGCACCATCTATCCAAGAACCCCATTTTGGACATAACTTTCCTTAAGAATTCCCAATCCACCATGTCATAAGCCTTCTCCATAKCCAWCTTACAAACCACTCCYTTCCTTTTATCCTTCTTAAAACTCTCCACACTCTCATTAGCAATGAGGATTTGATCTGTAATCTGTCTTCCACTTACAAAGGCACCTTGATTGTGTTCAATTATGTCTGGCAATACCTTCTTCAGCCTCAAAGATAACACCTTTGTTATAATCTTGTACAGGTTGTTCACCAGACTGATTGGTTTGAAGTCCCTTGGATGTGAAGCTTCTTTCTTTTTGGGAATCAAAGCTATAAAAGTGGAATTCACCCCCGGATTAAGAATTCCTCCCCTATGAAATTCCTCTAAAACAATCAGAATGTCCTCTTTCAAAATATCCCAACAGTCCTGATAAAAAGCCATGGTGAACCCATCCAGCCCTGAAGCTTTTGTTCTGTCCATAGAAAACACAGCCTCCTTAATCTCTTCCAAGTCAAAGTTCCTTTCCAAACTCCTCCTATTATCCCCCCCTACATCTGGCAAATCCAAACCTTCTACCCACACCCTTCCATTTACAGGCCTTCTTAGAATGGATTTAAAGTGTTCTACACATGCCCCAGCTATCTCCTCTTGTTGAGTTAACTCGATTCCATCCACAACCAATTTGGAGATGAAATTTCTCCTTCTTCTTCCATCTGCTAAAGAATGAAAGTACCTGGTATTCCTGTCTCCCTCTTGCAACCATTTACATCTAGATTTTTGCCTCCAACTTATTTCCTCCTTATGCAGGCAATCCTCTAACTGTCTTCTCAAGCCCTTTCTTAGTTCATTGTCTTCCTCTCCAAATTCTCCCCTTTCTTCTTTAGAGTCAAGGCTTTCAAGTTGGTCCATCAAATCTCTCTTTTTTCTTCTAACCTCCCAAACTCCAGGATATTCCACTCCTTGATCTTTATTTTCAAAAATTGTAGTTTCTTATGAAATCTCATCCCCTCCCATTCCACCAATGGGTTACACTCCTTCCACCACTCCCTTACTCTATTGGTAAACCCGGGATGGAGTAACCACATTTTCAAATCTACATGGGGCCGGTCTTCCACTCCTCTCTTCCTTGCATAACACTATGGGTCAATGATCCAAGGTCACCCTAGGTAGAGCTCTAGATGTCAAGTTCCCCCAGTGTTCTTCCCATTCTATAGAAAAGAGGAACCTATCCAACTTAGAGCATATGGAACTAGCTTGGAGATTTGACCAAGTAAATGTCTTCTGAGCCAACGGTATCTCCTTAAGCTTAGAGGCATCCACAAACCTGTTAATATTTAAGTTGATACACATTTCATTACAAAAAGAATTGCATCTGAAGAAGTCTGCTTGCCATATGTAACCTCTGAAATGAAATTAGCCGATAACTTCACCAAGGAAGTTATAAATCCAAGTTGGATACAGATACAAGTTGGGAACCACCAATATCTATTCCAACTTGAGGAGTGTTGAGCTGTAATTCCCTATGTTTACATGCTGTTTTATGTTCTTTTTGGTCTCATATAGCTGCTATATAGCTTCTATTTTTTTTTTATAAATCTATATAGCTTCTATTTTTTTGTCTATTTTATATTAGCAACAAGGGCAGTATGGTCATTGTAGAGCATAACCTTTTTACTATAAATACTCAGATAGGTACTTTTGCCCCCCTTTCATTCTCACCTTCTTCTCCAAGTTTGCTGTTTTTTGTTCTTTTCTTCTCTATTTTCTTTTGATTTATTACTTCAGAAATATTAATCCCTGCTGTTGCACTGAACAAGTGAACCAACCATAGATAAACAATGGAAATTTTAAATAAGCACTTCATCTAGTTTTCTTTTCAGTAACAGATTAAGAAATTTCATTGGAAAACGAAGATAATGCTCAGTTAAAGTTAGTTATGTACATATAACAAAAACCTCAAAATAGCAGTCTCTCTCTATATACAGTCATCGTATGCCTCCAAGATCAGGCTGCCAATATAGGTCAGTCCCATTGGGCCCTTTCTTTGCAAGGGAATCAGAAAAATAATTTGTATTCTTAAGACACATTTAAACAAAATGTTCAGTATGGATGTCACGAATCTTGCTTCCTTCATGCAACAGCTATGAAACAAAGGAACCAACCAACTACAACATGTGGATCCCCTTATAAGCACTTCCTCTAGTTCTGGCATAAATAACGAATAGCAAGATTTTTTTTACCAATCAAGAAAGTGCATTCTCAATGTCAACAGAGGGAGGGCTGAAAAAAAAAACAAGATCAGGAAAGGGGAAAATACTGATACCATATGCAAAGTTGCATATTTAAAAAATAAACTAATCCATAATTTAGATGATCTTAAAGCACACCTTCATGGAACTTTCATAGACAAGAATGCATCAAGGTAAAAACAATTACCTTATCAGAAGAATCTGATAGAGCTCCAAGAAGGGTGTCAAATATGTCATTCAAGAAGTTTAAGACCTGTATCAGGAACAAGAATGAATTTTAAACACTTCTCACATAAAAAAGTAAATAAATATATCATATGGCCTTCTTTATTGAAGACTTCAAGTTTCACAAGGTAGTGAACAGCACATAACGCAACAGAAATCGCCATTAAAACAATTTAATGAAAGCTTTAACTATCTAACAGATCATATTGATTTGTCTCACAAAAACTAGCCTATCTATCAATGTAAAATAAAAAGGTTCCCATATAGAAGCAACATATAATGATGATAATAAGCTGGAGCAAGTGTAGGAGTGTCAGAAATGACAGGAAGTATGAACATGATACCCAGATACGGATATGAGCACAGACACAAATATGGGAAACAGGGATATGATTCCATTTCCTAAAATCCTGGATATGGATAAGAGTAAGGGTGTCCCATATAATATACTTATACCATGCATTTATATCCACTTTTTGAAGCTAAATGTTATCTCCTTATGCCTTGCCATATTTAATTACGTATAACATTTTTATGGATAATTAAATTTATAGCATGTGAAGATCTTTTATAATATAACTTGTTATGACAGACCATTTTACATATCTTAAAAGTGCTAATATTAATAAAGTACATCTAGAGTACAGGTATATGGTATCATAAGTATGAAGGTACTTAATTACCATGCACATATAGAAAAAAAGTGACAAGTGACAACTCACAATAGTATCTCATGTATACTACCATAGGTTGAGATCCACCTACAAGGCCAAATTCTTTTGATTTATCGGTAACAGCTCACTAAGAATTTATTGAACGCACATGAAAGAAAGTGGTACAAGGAACCACAACAACACTACAACAGGAAACCCGAGATGCTAATGCAATGCCATATCCCACCCCACAATAGAGACCCGGAGCACCCTCAACAAGAGCTAAACCATGGCCTCACCTAAATGGTTGGGCCACAGTGCCAATCCTCACTGATTGACCTCTTCTCTAACTAGGGAATCTGCTACATAACTAGATGATCTTCCAGATTCCTAGGACTTATCCCTTCCCATGCACAATGAAACTCTAAGCCTTAGCTGCACTCTAAAGTTCCTCAAAGACAGTAGGCTTCTTAAGCTAGCTTCTTAAACCCTTCTTAAATTAAGCCCTTGTTTACTCTTTGAATAAGCTGTGTTTTTTGAGTAACAGGGTGAATTTTATTCATTCAACACCAAACTGCACACAAATGTGAGCAGAAGAACGATACAACAATGACCCTCCCAAGAGAAGCCTTACTACAAGTAACAACAGAAACAAAAGCAACTTTAACTAGCATTTGACAAACAAGCTTTTGTGCTCAACTAGACTGTTCAATATGATATTGTCGTTGTTGCAGTTCTGCCAACTTTAACTAGCATTTGATATCAAAACAGAATCTTGAGACACATAAAGTTGCAACCAAGGAAATTCGGAATTTATCAGCAGCAACAGTAGCATGGGAGAATGGTGGAGCAATATCCATTTTTTTCTCTAGACCAATAGGACATGGAAACTCTACTAGGGCAGAGTTATTATAGTACTACTGAAATTAAGAATGGAAAAATCCAAAAAATATTGGAATTTAATGGTTGAAGTGGATCCAAAGGTGGTTGTGTGATGGCTGAAGAAAAATACTATAGGTGCTTGGAAATACAGGCACTCAAAAAGATTCAAAGAGCAAAAGCATCAAAAGTTAGTACCATGGTTTGCGATTTCAATACCAATGAACATTTCACCATGCAGAGATGGGGAAATTTTAGGAATATTTTACTAATTTCACTAACATATTTGAAAAATCTAAAGAAATCAAGGAAGTTTTCTAATAACATCGTACTTGTTTATAAAATTTCATGGAATTATTAGAAGTATAATTTCACTTTTAATGCTTGAAAACCAATATAAGAGAAAATTAAAAGACTTAAATAGACATCTCTATTTGTCTCCCTTCTGGTCTTTTAGTCATCATCTCTTCTTTTTTTTTTATCAGCATCTCCTCTTCCTTATGCATGGCATTTTATTTGCCACCTTGACTTTTTTCCTTTTATAGTAAAAGAGAATTTTAATAAAAATAAAAGGTAGCAACATTACAACCACCAATAGGGTGCAGAGATTGCACCAACAAAACAAAAAGCTATCAACAACTCCAAAGGATGACCACCTACATACCCGACACGCACTCCCCCTTCAAGAACAAAAACATACAAAATTCTTTAAACACAAAATTCCTGGGAATCGAGCCACGCAACCCCACCCCTACTCAACTCCAACTTCACTCCTCCCCCTCAAGAAGCTCCTCCTACTCACCCTCCTTGTTACAAATTCCCCCTCCATGAACAAGTTTCTTCAAATTTTCTTCCCTTTTGTTCCTCTCAAATTCTTCAAAAGATCTCCCAACAAAAGCTTCTCCTAAGAAAAATAAGCCTAAGGATTTGCCAACACTAACATCCCTGTTGTTGACTTCTCGATCTCCATCCTTCCTTTTTCCTTCTTCTGTCCCTCTGAGGACAGCTCAAAAGTTCTTTCTACAACTCCACTACCACCTTCCCTAATCTTCTCCTCTAAAACTCCACTGGCACCGCCTCCCCTGCAGAAGAACCCAACACCTGCCTGTTCTTGCAACTAAAGTTTAGTTGCACAACCTCCTCTTCAGCACAAGCCCATTTCCAAATACTTTTTCCTTTGCACCCCTTCTTTTATACAATTTTTTGTACTTGCTAGTAGGAGCTGCACCAACTAGACCTTCTTTTAGCCACGAGAACACCTTAGTTACATGCACGATGTGAGATTTATTTGAACTCCTAGGAGTCTTTGAAGTCGATGGAACAGAGTTGTAATCAACCTTCTCAGGATCCTTCCTTTGCCAACCCAAATCAACTCCAAGTTTGCCCATACAGATGTTTTGAGTAGAGAATCCTTTTTTAGTTGCTGATCAAAAAAAAAAAAAAAAGACTCCTCTTTTTTAGTTGTGTGTTCTTCTCTTGGTCTTTTGAATTATAGTGACTTAGTAAGTGAATTATACCACAGTAATAAAGCCAATCATCCCATCACTGAACCCCCATTTGTTCTTTTAGAAAACAAGTTTCAAAAAAAGTTAGATGATTTTAACAAAATATAAGAAATTTTCTACAATATTCTAAAATTTTAAATCTTAAATGTATAGTTTCTCAAGAAATTTTGAAATGTGACATGATGGCAACGTATTGGGGACATTAAGATTCTTGGAAGATTTCACCAAATCTCATCAATATTGTAAACCATGGTCAGAAAACATTTCTATGCAACTTTCTTGCCTAAAAATGAGATTAGCCAGAGCTGACCCTTGTAAGAAAATTGAGAAAGTATACAAGGGGAAAGCCATTAAGGATTCTCATTGTCCCAACGATAGTGTTCAATGATAGTGATGAAAGGGATATATTTAAAAGTATCTCACTCCCATTGAAATTACTTTAACAAATGATAAAATATATGGCATAAACTTGATAGAGGGAGAAAATAAGGTAGGTGATCCTACTGATGGCGAAGATAACAGTTCTAAGCAGGAAATGTTATGTAGGATTCTTTGGGATGTGCAAAAGACTAGAGTGTAAGGAGAGGGAGGTGCAAAGATCAACAATGGGAGAGGGATCTTCGAAGCCTAAGGGTCTGTGTTGGTTTGTAGTAGGAGTTGGAATTGGAATCAAAATCCCTTGGAATCAGAATTGGAGTGGTCTATTCCCATAGTCTGTTTGGTTCAGATAGGAATCTGAATCGGGATTGAAATAAGCTGGAATGGGATTTCATTCCCAAGAGAGGGGAAGGGAATGGCCATTCCCTCAAATGAGGAAATGCCATTCCAGCAGGAATGGGAATGGGATTCCGATTCCGATTCTGATTCCAAACCCTATTCCCGCAAACCAAATGGGCCAAAAGTTTTGATTGTTTTCAACTACAAAAAAACATGGAGGTTACATGGAGGTTACATGGAGTGAGTTTGTCGAAGACTTGAATAGTGATAAGTAGATATGGATGATGGAGAGAAGAAGGCTACTTTGATTAGGGAGGGGAATGGAGATCAGATTATTTATTAGAGGGGGACAAAGATCAGATGTCTATGGAACTATGGATGAAATAAGGAAAGAAAATAAAAAGATGAAGCTGAGCAAAGTAATCGATAGAGAGATTGTAGCTAAGGTGATCACTGTGTGCTACTCAGAAGAATAAGAGACAGCTAGAAGAGTTTTTGAGATGTTGGAAGAAAAAGAAAGGAGAATGGAAGAAGAGGAAAAGAACAGAATACATGAGAAACCGTTTGAGTAAAGGGGGGTGAAAACATGTTTTGGGTTGCAGGAGGCCAATATTTGGTGGCAGTGATTTTGTTTTTTTAGAAGGGTGAGGTGATATCTTATCAACACTTAATTGTACCCTTCTTTTTTTTACTTTTCCAATGAAATTTCTATCTACTATAAAAAAAAAAATGCAAACATGTCACAGACTCACAGAGGTAAGATTTCTCACTAAATGGACACAGAGATCAGCTCATTATTTGGCCAATGCAGTAATGCTTTATCAAGGTAGGGGGTTCACAGGAACCAGATGTATTGGGGAGTTGTCTTCCAGGGAGATGGCATTAAGAATTGCAAGATAAACAAGAGATGACTGACACAAGCAGGTTAGCAGGGTAGATAGCAAATGATAACCTGTCAAAAGGGGTGTTTGGACAATCTCGATTTTGTACCTAAGTCATTTATTATAAATTAATAAATTGTCATAATCAATCAAAAAAACTATGAATTTCTTTCAATGAAAAGTAATTCATACAATGAAAAGATGCCCCATTTGAAGAGATTACCTTGAGAAACAATTGTCATGTTTTGCCCCACAAGTAGGAAACTAAAAAACAGGCAATTAGGATTTCCTCCAATAACAGAAAAAAGAAAATCAATTCCATTTATCAAGCCAGCATTTTGATGCCACTATATGGATTCAAGGCCTGCCTTTGTATGCTTACCCACCGGCCCACTAAAAGACTTTGATCGGTTCAGATTTTATTAGTTAGGAAAGAAGGTTTAATTTGGACCAATGGAGCAGTGTTTTACTATGAATCAGACCCAACTAAAGCAGGGTAGCATCAGGGAACAGCAAATCATATCAACCAAGGGAGTATAAGGATTATCAATCAAAAATACCAACTCACTCTTAGTTTCTAGGCTTCATGATATCAGTCCCAAACAGAAATTCCAAATAAGCACAATTAAACCCTCAGACATAACTTTTTTTGATAAGCCTCGAAAACAAATTGATAGACTATATATTTAAGGTTTAAATTTTTAGAATATTATTAAAAACTTTTCAATATTTTGTTAAAATCTTTATAAATTTTTAAAAATATTTTCCTAAAAGAACCATGGGAAATTGGTGATTAGATAATTGGCTTACTATTTTCATATTATTCACTTACTAAGTCACTATAACTCAACAGAAAAAGTAAAATGCATATAACTACAAAAGAGTGTTCTCAAATTAATCAAAACATATAGTAACAAAAAAGGAAAAAATAAAATGGCAAGTAATTGACATATTAATGAAGAGAAGATAGCTAAAAGAATAAAAGGCAAGCAAAGAGAAAGATATTGGTAAAGTCTCCCAATTTCCTCCATTTGATTTATACAGTTCTTTACTGTGGTTTCTTTGAAACTTAAATGTGCAATTATGTTTATTCTAATGATTCCTTGAAGGTTTAATAATTTGTTGTGAGGATTATTTAATTGTTATTTTACAGTTGCTGTTAGTGTGCTGTCAGCTTAAGATGCTGTCAGCCAGTTAGTTTCTTTCTTTCTTATTAGTTTGTTACTAGGGAGTGCCACTAGGGGCATACTTGTAATCTCCCATTCCTTTTATATTAAGTTAATATAAATAACTAAACTGGTGGCTGCCAGAAGAGGTTTTTTTGTGTCTCTCAATCATATCTTCCTCTTCTCCTCTTTCCTCTCTTCTCTTCTCTTCTCTTCTCTTCTCTATCTATCTCTCTCTCTCTCATCTCTCTCTCTCCATGAATGATTACATAATTAATTCCATGTTTCTAGAAACCTTTCCTGATTTTTTAAATTTTACGAAATTAGCAAAATATCTCTGAAATTTCTCTATCTCTACATGGCAAAATGTCCATCATATTGAAATTGTGAGCATTAATAGAAAGAAACTATAAATCAACTCTAAGAACCAATCAAGTATGATAATAGATTTTGTAATTGGCAATAGTAGCTTATGGCAGATTTAATAACTAGGCTGACATGTAAGAATATGGTCCACATCCAGTCCACCCCACCCAGAAACCCCAGATAGCTGGAATCAGCATTGTGTAATGGCCTTTTCAGATGACCCATGCATGAATCACTTTGGTGCAATATGTGGGACTTGCAAGTATTTCTATCTGATCATTTGATAAAGGCTTGTAAACCTCATATGATTAGGTCTTCGAAGGAATATGTAGGGACAACAAGGGACTGTATAGTCTCAGTTGTGCTTTGGCTTGATTATAGACACACAGATGACCAGATTGACCTACTACATTGAAGAAAATAAAATCTCTTGTGCCATTTATTCTACCCATAAAAGATAAAATGCATAGCAATCAAACCAGCCATAATTTTCTAGACAATATATTTTACCTCCATTCACTATTCACTATCTCCTCTCAAGGTAGGAATGAAGATGTCACAGTATCACATTTTTACTAGCAGTGAAGAAGAGACTGCAGATTATCCACATGACTCTAGAAACAGTTCAAAATGCAAAGATGATACCAAATCTAAGCATGCATTAATACTAATAATATCTTAGAAAATCTTCCATGAATTACCTCAGCACGATGTCTATTTAAAAGTGTTGCAATCCAATTCAATGCCTCAATTCGAGTAGCCTCCCATTCACTAGATAGTTCACTGGGGAAAAGGAAACAACTCAGTATTCACAAGCTAAGCCATCTTATCTTGTGCAAATGCCAAGGACAAAATGAAAATTTCAATAAACTAGCAATAACAATATGAAACAGGAACCCCTCTTTACAGCTTTCTCCTGTATGGAGCCCACAAATTATGGGGACATCAATAACCTTTAAAACCTAGCTGTTATCCCAGGTGACAAAAACCGCACCTCCTTGCAATGGAAAGAATTGCTCTTATATCAAATCCATCAGCTGGATCAGCATTTATTGCACGAAGCTCATCATTAGTTTCACAAGCAGCCTGACAAACAAATATATGCAATGTGCAGCTGTATGAGATGCTTGATAAAAACTTTCATACCATATGCAGCTGGGTATAACAACCCAAACTCATCACTTGGGTTTTAAGAGAAGAAAAGCCTACCACTCTTATCCTCTCCTCTTTGTCAGATATGCAGGGTAAAATGGCTCCCAAAATATTAGCATAGTGAGGAACAAGCTGATCTCCACCAAGTTTCACAAATTCATTTATCTGCATGATCAAGCAGATGTACTAAAAATGATCTTCAAGCTGACGTAAAACCTAAATGACCATTTACTTATTTAACATTAACTAGCAATCTAGCAATAGCATGCTCAACAACTTGTTAATTCTTTACTAAGAGAAAAACAGTCAGAAAACCACATGAAACAATGAAGCCGGCAGATAGCACAAAGATAAAGGATCAACTACTTTCTGTGATTTAGTAACATGTCAAGCTCCCTAAACAATCACAATAAAATAATATAAGTGTCAAGCTCCTTACCCACGTGACAGCTGTCAGCCGAGTAAATTCGTCTGGAGAAGCTGCTCTCTGCACCAATATTTCAGCCATTCGACCATAATCTACAGACTTCAAAGTAGCACTGCTCAAGTCAGAAAATTAAAAACTAAACAACCATTAAATGAATTTATTTTCTTTTCCTTCTGTTTTCTACTAACTAATAAAATAATCAATAAAGAACTCCCCCTGCCACATCAACAAATGTCTTACTGGAGAATTCTTAATCTCTTGGAGAAACTCTGAAAGTGCTGAATCAGCTTGTTGCCGAATTTCATGGCTGGAATCACTTAACATGTTGAACAAACCTGAAAATTTGCAAAGCTAGTAAAATTACCAATAAAACTCCAAACTTGCTTGGGAAGCTTTCATATTTTGTAATGTATGAATATTTACCATCAAGAAAATCTGGAAGAAAACCAAGCATGTCAATATCTGGAACACTATCCAATACAGTAATCCATCCTACCAAAAACTGGCGTACATAAGGATTTAAGACATTCATGCGTTCCCTTAGCAGTGGTATAAATTCTTCAATGCTGAGACAGAACATCAACAAAATAAAAACATAATGAATTTATACAACCAAGGTTCTACCCTCCTGCCAAATCTTGAACTTTAAATAAATACTGGAACATATAGTGGATTAAAGATAGTGCACCTGAATTGATCACTTTCAGTTACAATATCCTGTTTATCCATAGGAATAAAATTAGAATTCACACATGCATTTCCAGAATTTGATATGTGCAAGTCAGATTGTGATGGAATGAAGTAATTTACCTTTACAAGCCGATCTAAAAGATGAGCAGCACTTTGCACATTGGCATCTGAGTCTGCTGATAGCTTACATAGTGCATCAAATATTTGATTGAAAAATACAATGAAATCTCCTCTTACAACCTGCATAACAGCTAGAGACAATGGTTTAGTGCAGGAGTAAAAATTAGAATATATCACAAAGAACATCAACAGAAAGAAGAACCTATTAAGTAAAATCCGACCAATCCACTCTCACCTTTGCAATGTTGTATAGAGCTTCACAAGCATAATACCGAACTCTGCCATCTTGATCAGAGAAGGAATTAAGGACAGGTGGCACAATTTGCTGATACCAAAAGAAAGGAATTATAAGCAGCGCAAACTGGGAGGAGAACATTATCAAACATGTAAGCCTCATATTTTTATTTTAACATTACATTCCAAGTGGAAATGATTAAAGATTGGATATTTTCATTATTTACAGAATGGAGTACAATCTACCATAATGAAGATCCAGGAAAAGGTCACCATCACAAACTAATGAGTCTTACTTCAAAGATACAATTCTCAAATCAACATAATTACATCTACGATTCCACCTGACTTGGCTGGAAAATAAGTGGCTTGACAAGTTTTTTACAGTTCATTCTACAGATAGGCTTAGAACTACTCTCAAGAAAGCTAAACAAAGCACTACTATTCTTTGAAGCGATCAAAGTTTGCAATCCCACAGAAACTGATATAAGATACAAAGAAGTAAGCGTGTGATGTAGGGACAAAGTTTAAGAAATGGGAAGCCAAAACCATTAATTTTCTTGGTCTATAGAGGTATTTATGCCATTTCACAACAGACAAGTAATTGGGTTTTCAAAAATCCACATGAATCCAAACAACACCAAGCCTAATACGTTGTTGTTGGGTTGGGGGCTCAAAGCCCATATACTTTAAGCTTATCCAAACAAGTCATATAATTTAAAATTATCCAGCTCAAGCACCAAAGACTAAATATTTCATATCAAATCTTGTTGAGAAAATCTCCCCCTCCTTTTTAATACCATACTCACTTTCACCTTAAAAAATAAACAAATAAAAAGATTTCACATCAAATCAATCAAAATTTTGATTACATTTTAGAGATTTCATAAAGATTGATAAGAATGATTTAGTTATATTTGAACTTTTGTTGTTAGCAAGTATTTCCATATTTAATTGCATTTATTAGGAAAATAATTATCATGTAATGTTAAACAAATATGGTGCTCATTCATAAATAGCACTGTAAACACTCTTTTGGGATTGGGAGAACTAATGGAATTTGAATTGTTCTTACAAAAAAGAAATCAAATCTAACTAAATATAAAGGATCTTTTCCACCTCTATCAAATCTTCAATTGATTGATATTACCTCTTTAAGATGCAATTGAATTTCATTGAGGAGATCTCCTACTTTTCCATAATTGTTAAGGCTCAGTTTGGAAAGATTACAAATACAAATATGTACAGTGCAAATACATACAAAATAATACAAAATATGAAGGTTTGCACTCTACATATTTGTATTTGTACTCCTTCCAAACTGAACTTAAGGAACTAAGTTGAGGCTACGCAATAACAGAGTGCCTTGTCACTTGGGGTGACTAGGCACCAGCCTAAGCATAACCTAGGAAATGATATTTTACATAAAATTTGGTTGATTTTAACCTGTTTCCCTGGTTATTGTAGGGTAGCAATTACCACTCTGCCCCATTAAAAGAGAGAGAGAGAGAGAAGAACAATAAACACATTATAAGAAGGTTAGATACAGCTGACTTATAGAGGCCCCTTGCTTAGCCAAAATATCGGCCAAACCATTTGCGCGTCTAGGCACCCAATCTTTATATTTCCGTTCTGTAACAAACATTTGATCTGTCTTAGTTCATTTCTATAGCCCCACGCTGCTTTTTCATCATTTTTCAGCCACCCAGTTACAACCTTGGAGTCACCCTTAACAATCAAGCTATACAAATTCAATTCTTTAGCCCATTGTAGACCCTGGAGTACAGCTTGGAGCTCAGCCCTTGTAAAGTCTCCCACACCAATCAGGCCAGAGAATAATGCAAAGATGTTACCTTCCCAGCTCCTTGTCTCTAAAGACCCCTAGGCCCTACCACTCCTGACGGGCCAGGATTTCCCACACTGCTTCCATTAAAATTTGGTTTAATATATCCACTCTCAGGCAGTGTTCATTATTTATGGACTTGTATCTTTCTTGAAGATGTTCCAGACACTTGTTCCCACCATCTCCACAAGTCGTCATGTGAACAATCATTCAAGGATTAACACCACCGTAGCCATTATACGTTCAGAGACCACTTCAAAACTTCTTTGCTCCTCCCTAAAACTTCTTGCACTCCTTTCCCCCCCATATTGTTCACACAGTCGCTGCCCTAGTGCATCTCCATAGCACACTTCCCCTTTTCCTTGGTTGTGTAAGGGTTTCTAGAGAATATAAGCTTGCCATATTCAAAGGCACCCTCCACCTACAACCAAAGAGAGAGAAACCTTACCCACACACGACAAAGGAACAAGAAATTAGAAAACAAAAGCAAGTCTCACCATTAGCCTTACAAAGAGTGCACCAATTTGGGGACAAATAATTGTTTGGTCTTATTTTTTGAAACATGTCCATAGTATTGATCTTTTCATGATATACTTCCAGCACAATGCCCCAACTTTTGGGGGAATAGGATTGCCCCATACTGCTTTGATAGGGGAAAACAATTGAAGGGAAAGGAGAGGGCCAGGGGCTTTGAAAAATGAAACACAGGTGAGAGAACCCATAGGATGAGGAGACCAAATTCTTCAATCTGGTTTTGAGGGGTCCAAACAAACTAGTTTCAGGGTTTCCCAACATGTTAACCAAACAAGCAATTTCATCATCCCTTAGCCCTCTTTGAAAACCCAAATCCCATTCATATCCCATAGGTGAAAAAGAAGATGTGGAGGACAAAAAATTTTAAATTTGGTTCTTTTTTGAAGTAGGAAAGGAATTGATCCTAGAATTGAACCACCTACCCATAAATCTTCCAAAAAAAGAATTTTGTCCCAAAATATGCATCATACCTGACAAAGTTTAGGAATTACAGAAGAACTGCATGTATTGCCTTCCAAGGAGAGGCCAATGTAGCCCTATGTGATACACCAGCATCTCAACCATTACCTGTCATTCCATGATCACCTTGCCCCATAACTTCTCCCTTTCAATAGGCAGCCTCCATAACCATTTTCCCAATAATGATAAATTCTTCATTCCCAATTCTCCACGCCCAACTCCACCTTGTTCTTTATTCCTGCATACTACCTCCCATTTACCAAGTGATCTTTCTTTTTCATTTCCTAGTTCCCAAAAAAAAATCTCTTATTAGATGCTTTATCACCTTTGCAACTTTCTATGGGATCCTAAAGATTGAAAGGTAATAAATAGGAAGATTTGCCAGTGTGGATTTTATTAAGGCTATTGCACCCCCTAAGGAGATATAATCCTTTTCCAGGCTGCCAACTTCTTCACCCTCTCTAATATAGGATTCCAACTCCAACAACTAACCTCCTCTGAGTTAACTCCTAAGAGAAGACCCAAAATAACTGATAGGGTTGCAGCAAAAAGTAGCTAAATCCCCCCCCCCCCACACACACACACATACACACATTTATTCCCATGATGCAACTTTTAGCAAAATTTATCTTAAGATTCAATACCTTCTCAAAAAGTTCCAACACCAACCTCAAGTTTCTTACCTGGTGGTTATCAACATCCTCACAAAAAAATTATTATATCATCAACAAACTGAAGGTGTGGAACTATAACTCTCACAAGTTGTTTCAATACCTAGTACTCTTTTTAGGTTTTTTACAAAATTGCTTTAGATGGTCGATTTTAGGCCTGCCTACCCCCTGAAACTGGTCAAAATCCGAAGGACCCCTTATTTGGGGTTTTGGGGGGCCTGCCAATATGATATGATACGCCTGATAGTCCGATACAGGGCATATCATGTCACCTTTATCACAATTTTATCCAGAACAGGATTTAGGGGTCAATCTGAATCAGTAGGAATCCAATTCAATTCAACTCATATGATTTAAACCATGAATCACACCAACTTAACAACAGAGGAAATATTTATTGTATTCAGGATGGGGTTACTTAGAAGTCATTCGCATTTTAGGAAAGGATAAAACAAATAATGTATATAAAAGATATAAAAAATACATAAATAACAATATTATGACAGCACTCAAAATAGGCTAGTGCTTGAGTAATGTGAATTGGGGAGTTAAACCTTTTGGATTAACCACGGCATAGGCATAACAGATATAGTTTGTCATAAATAACCAAGCACGGTAGTGATTGTCACTAGTTTAATAAGGCCTTTCCTAGAAAGCCAGACTTATTTTTAGTAATATTAATTATCAGCACTTGAAACTTTGTATTTATCAATATGTTTTGATGTTATAGCTCTAAGAATTAATAGAATAGTTGCATGATCTATCAGCTCATGACTCCTGTTTTTATTTTTTTGGTAGAAGCTTATGAGTCTTCCAAGGTCATTCATTTGACACATTATATCCAGTTCCACTGACTAATATTTGTACCAAAGTTAAGGAAGACTTTCCGTCATTCATGCATAATATTTGGGCTTTTGTTCTCCAAGCTGGTCTACATAGAACGTGTAGGTTCAGAATTAGCAGGTCATAACCAAATGTCTGTAAATTAACCATAAAGCTCTTAACATGGTGGCCATAAGAACCAGTACATTTCCCGTCTTATATTCCTTACCTCAAGATGCTGAGAGGCTTCTGAAGTCAAGGCAACTGTTGCAGCAGCAAGTCCTATTAACCCTCCCTGAAACAACATACAAATGCTCAATAAAAAATTAACGATTAGGATAATTACATGATCAAAAGCATTGGATGTCTAAGTCAGCACGAGCACGAAGAATTACAACATAGATATAAAATATGTCGTGCCAGTCATTGACGAACCTTCCGGTGGTTCGCCTGTGGCGAATACGTGAAATCGTTGATCAGCATATTGATCACAGCTGTAATTCGGTCATGATCGCCGGCAGCAGCGAGTTGCTTCACAATCCCTTCAACCTGAAAAATTCGTTTCACATCCACGAAGAACAACCCAGTAACCTTAAGCAGTCAAAACCCTAGAAATTTAAAACAAACGGGAAATGGTACAAAATTTGCATTAAGAGATACAAACCTCAAGCGCGGCATTTTTGCGCTTCTCGTAAAGCTTGTCGGCCAAGTTACGAAGCACGGCCGCCGGAATTACCGACAAAGCGTCCGACATGGCGCATAAAATTGTTCAGACTCTCAAAGTCGTTTCCGAATCTTCTCCTCCTCGAATCGGAACATTGCTATGAATTTCAAACCAGATCAATTGTCGAAGAAATGCAGCCTGACGCGCCCTAAACGAAGTATCAAATGGAAGATCGCAAGAACAGACGGCAGATCTAACAAAACTGAAACAAAAAACCTAGGTCTCTCCAATCCTTGAATGAAAGTTTAGTCTCGACAGCTCTTTTTTTTCCTTTTTTTTAATTTTTAATTTTATTTTTCTTCCGGTTTCTCTCTCTCGCTCGGTTTCTCACCGTCTCTGCGTTTACCGTTGGTCGTCTCGGCCACAGCGTTTAATCTCGGCAGAGCTGGATTGATCTGTATTTACGGAAAATGCCACTATGTTTTTAACAAAAATGACGAAAATGCCATCATTACGACCAGCTCGCACAAACCGGCTGTTTGCTCGGAGATAGGTTTTGAACCCCGCAGAACGGTTGTCTCCATCCTCTAGCTTTTGAATATTTTGGAAGGGAATGCTTGTCCTTTATGCATAATTACTAAAATAGCCTTCCAAAGGTTGTCGGTCCATCATTTGTCCAAAACTTTTGGATCTACATGGTGCATATATAGAAACCAGATTGAACCGGATGAGTGGATGACCCTGAAATTCTTTGAATCACGTCTCGTTGTGCTTAAGCCAGCGGCCAGCCTGACCCGGTTTGGTTTAGCTTGGTTCAGTAATTAAGACGTTCATCTGTCAAAAGAGATCGAGCTTGCTTGACTGATGTGATTTTTTGGATTGATGGAATTGGGAAGGCAAGGAATGGGTAGTCGATTAGAACCTGGGATCGAAGACGCAGTCGGAGGGAAGGTGGGTGAGCCGGTGAGGTTGGGGCAGGTGACGATGTTGTCAAGAACGGGCTTGGGCCAAAAACTATAGGCTTGAGTAAGGGCTTGTATCAGGCCCACAAATTCTCAGGCCTATTTCAGGCCCAGCCCCGTCTGCATAGCTCATTATATATATTAGGGAGGATGTGAAGCATGAGATTTATCAAAGAAAGTGAAATAACTGAAACTTAGAAGTAAGAAAAGAATGCAATATTGTTTAAAATAATTAAATCTTTATTTTAATGATTTGTTACAGAGGCCTTTTACTAATTTAGTAATTTAGTAATTTGAAATAATTATATTAATATATTTAACAAAAATAATAAATTATTGCTAGTTACTTAATAAAGTAATTATTTTTCCATTTTATTTGTTAGTGTTCTATTTTATTTATTTTACTTTATTAATGATTAAATGTTTTAATTTTTTGTAAATATCACTTATATATTTAAAATACTTAAAGATCGGTAAATATATAAAACTAGGCTATAGTCATAATTAAATTAATCTAAGCCCAACCCACCCAAGTTGCATGCATTGTAGCATTCGTAATTGGACTGAACCAAACCAAGTGCAACTCATCTATGCATTAGTTTTTGGTTTTTAACCTTATTTAGATAATATTGAAGACAAAGGAGCTACGAATGATGGGCTACCCCCATTGTGTGTGGGTATGGTGTAGATCTGAGCTAAACATAACTTATAAGAAAATATTTGTTTGAGCCCAAGGTCATCCCCAAGTAGAATGAGTCTTATGACATTATTTTAATTATTTTTTAAAATTTTTATATGGAACGCAAATGGTTTATTTTATTATTTTTCATAATTTTTTACTTGTTATTATCAATTTTAATTATCCTATTAACATTAATTATATTTAAATAGAATTAAATTGTATATTAGTTTTTAATTTATGTATTACTAATTTTTATTAATTTCTTAACTTTTAATGGTTGCTAGATAAAAAGTTGCTAAATTTTAATATTTTTATTAACTTTAGTAATTTTTATTAATTATAGTTATTAGGTTTCAAAATATATAGAGATTATTATTATTATTATTATTATTATTATTATTATTATTATTATTATATTATTATTATTATTATTATTATTATTATTACTACTACTACTATTTATTATTATTATATTATTATTGTTGTTGTTGTTGTTGTTGTATGTTGCGTATCACGTTACAGATTTTTAGACGAACTGGACTTTTTCGAAAATGGGTCAACACAAATGATAAAATGCGTTCTACATTTTAAATTTTCATTATTTTTTCATTTTTATATCATATTTAATGGGTCCTCTATTTTATATAGGTCTCTTGTGTAGTATGGGAACCATGCACAATAAAGGTCTAAACTCATAAAAACCATTAATTTAAACAATATTATATTTAGGGGTGAATAAGAAGAAGCAAAAAAACCAATCAAAACCAAACCGGAAATCTAGTTAACCAAACCAATCAAAACCAACCGGTATACATACATACATACATACATACATACATACATACATACATACATACATACATATAGATATATATATATATATATTATTTAAAATATAATATTTTATATATATTCCTAGTTTATTATACATATATTTATAATACATATTGTAAATATAAAAAAACTAAAAAACCAATGAAACAAACTGACAGTTAACAGATTACTGGTTGACTTTGGTTTAGTTTGGTTCCGGTTACAAGTTATAATTAATTAATTAAAAATGCATTAATAGTTATCTAGTAAAATGAAAAGAATAAACAAAGCAAAATACAACATTTGAACATGGATTCTATTTGCAATATATCAGACACATGTTTAAATCATAATATTATTAAAACTATCAATTAATATTTTTTATATTTAAATTCTTATTTTTATTAATGTTTATTAAGTTTGATTTTTAAGTAGAACCGAAATGTTTTTAATTTTTACTAAGTTTTGTTAATATTTATTAGTTTTAAGCAATGCTCAAAGTATCGAAAATGCTATGCGTATCGGAAAGGCAAATTTAAGAGACGTATTGAGATACGCCTTGGATACGCATGGATACAGACGAAAAATTAAGATACGTATGGAAACATATGGAAATGCTATAAATACTCTAATAAATCATAAATAAACATCAATATCACTAATATAAGACATAAATGAGCTATTTATGCATAAAAATAACACGCTTTAGTAGGTTTTATGAAAAAAAAAACATATTAGAATCAATAAATGGGAAGTTGGGAGTAGAAACATACTATCTAATTATGGACATAATAGATCAAGTAATTATTTTGCATGCTTTATTCTAAAAATTAAATTAAAATTAAGAAAAGTAAATATGTAACAAAAAATTGAATGGATTTATGGACATAATAGATGAAATATTATTTTGCACATTTTATTCTAAAAATTAAAAAAAATAAATATTAATGTTTTAAAACACAAAGGCATTCCACTACCTAGAGGCGTGAAGCATAGTTCAAAATGTAAAAGGTGTAAGCTTCCTTAAGAGGAGGAAGGAGGAGGGGGAATAGTTGTTAAAAGAGGGGTCTTGTCGAAGCGGAGCAAGACCCCCCTAACTCAAAAAAATAAATTAGGCTACATCGAAAAGGGGTAAGTGGGGGTCTGGGGGGCGAAGCCCCCCAGTCGAAGGGGTAGGGGGCAAACCACTTTCTTTCCCCTTATCTTTTATAACATTGGTTGAAAATGTAAAAGAAATTTGAAAAAAAAAAACATTTTTATTTTCACTCATTTTTTCATAACCTTGAAAAACTTGTTGAATCTTGCAAATTTATAGATTTTTTTGGCAATTTTTTACAATATTTGAGTCTTTAAAAAGGTTAAAAAGACTTTTGAAGGGTTTGCGAAAGAAAGAGGACTTCTGAAATGGGTTTAGAAGCCCTCTTTCAAAGGGAGTTTTATTTGCGTTTCCGCCACAATAAAATCATACTATATCAATCAATACGCTACCATATTGATGTAGCACGATCCAGTCACTCCTAGCTGGCACTCATGTGGCTCTTGAAAAGTATCTGAGATGAAGAAGAAGAAGAATCCCCAGGGAGTTTACCCGGTGGGGATACTCTGATGCTTAAGTTAGTACTCTGTAGGAGAAGCAAAAAGGGAGACGAAGGCTAAGAGTGCAGATAGCGCGTTCTCACTATACTCAAGAGATTAGAGGTTTCAAGAAGAAGTTTATCTTCTGCCCTGAGGGCTTTTATAGAGGCACTCACGTCAGGTCGGGCATAACCGCCACTGGACTCTTGCCACAGCCGTTACCCGCCAGGGCTGTGCAGGTGGCCGTTGTGGCGTACGTCTCGCCCGGGTGAGTGACACGCTTCCAAAGTGTCAGGCACGCCTTTGCCTGCTGAGTGACGTGGGCGCAGATTGCCGAAAGGACTGGGACTATGCCGTCAGTAAGGGATATGGTGCAGTCTGACCGGTACAGTCTGTCAGTCAGAAGCTTCCAGAGGAGCGCTCGCACGGCTCATTCGTGAGCTATTTTGTAGCGAGCTTGGAACGCTCCAAGATTACCCTTAGTGGAATTGGTCCTCGGGATGACTTGTCTGCTTGGGAGGTTGGGCGAGCTAATAACTTTAGCTCACGAGCTAAAGTTGCCTCGGAGTATCTCTTCAAAGGTAGCTCGGGGAACCCGAGGCTAGCGTTGCGGCGAGCTTCTCCTTTCGTGAGCTACAATGTAGCGAGCTACTTCGTAGGCCCGTCACTTGGTCGTACCAGGCTACAACGCTGAGCTGTCGCTTGTGCTGAGTCAGTGTCCATGTGTCACTTTTCATAGGTTGGGTCAAATCGTCCTCCATCAATTGCCCCCTACTCCTCGGGCTGAGAGCATTGTCTTAGCGCGGGGAGATTATGAAGCGCGATGGACTGATTTAACTGAAATTCAAACTTGATTGACTACTCACATTAAATGCATTCGCGGGAATCAAGAGATTTTCTGACTTTCCTTACTTTTCGGATTCCGAAAACATGTTGAAGTGGCTCTTAACTCTGAACGTCGTGCGGCCGCGATTACCTTAATCATGGAAGACGTCGCCAATCACCTTCAGTTTTCAGAAGGCGTGCGGTCAGTGCGCCCGCGAGCTGTTGGATCTGCTTTGATCTGGGCCATCAATTTGGAAGAATGGAGACTATAAATAGGGGGCCTTCTAGGCCTCATTTTCTCCCACGCCATCTTGCTGTCTTCGGATTCTGAGGTCACGCACTTCATCTAGTCTACCCGAATCCCTCAGCTTGCTTCGTTCCATCTCTTCTAGTGAGTCCCAATCACTATCAACCATGTCTGGGTACCCATACCACACCTACCACCGGGGCGATAACCAGGACGACGAGGCTCCCTCGAGCTCGGGGAGAGCCTGGGAGCAGATCCCGGAGGCTCGGGAGGCCTCCGGCGATGTAGCATATACTTCTAGGGGGAGGGAGCCTGACACTTTTGGCCCTTCCTCCATGACAGTGGAGAGACTCAGGTCTCTAATCCGCTACTTTCGCCTCCCTGGGGACTTGGTCTACAGCCTCCCTACTAGCAACTTCCCTTGGGAGCATGGTCCCAATGACATAGTAATCTTTCAGGAACAACTCGAGGCTGGCTT